TTGTGATCCGTTGCCGGTCACGAAAAAAGACAAAAAAGGGAAAAAAAAAAAAATCGGTCAGGTGGGCAGCCAAGTGGCCTGTATGCTAAGCCCTGGAGCTGAGGGTAAGGGTGAGGTAAGAGATTAAGAGAGGAAAGGATCAATCCCTGCCCCTAGGGATGTCCTAATCAGATGCAGGTTATTAGACACACAGGATAAGGGGGAAAGCCACCATGATTTATATGTACTTCTGAATGTTGACTTAAATACTCGTTACTCTTCCTGTGCCTGGCCTGGTGAGGCTGGTCCTGGCAGCGTGCATCTTGGGAGTCACTGCCCATCTGTATCAGTGTCTCACCCACCCCTTCTGGTCTGGTCCCTCCTGGTCTGGTGTCCTGTCCTCCTCCCTGTGTCTCCTCTTGTCCTGACATTTCCATGCCATCCAGGCTCAGGGAGTCTGAGAGTCTGGTCGCCCGCTTGAGGCTAGCCAGGCCAACTCAGGCAGGATGTCCTGTTAGGAGGGGAGCCAGGCAAGGGAACTGGACAGCCGACTGAACAGAGCAGGTGGCTGGATCCTGTCTCACCCAGTTGGGGTCCCGAGCTGTTACTCACCAGTGTGTGCATTTAATCTTGCCTCATTACAAACTTGAGTCCAGCACAGGTGCAAGAAGAAAAGATGATATTCGAGGATAGAGTCCCATCCTAGAGAATGCTGCAGAAGCCAGCATAGCCACTTTCAGAGTTTGACTTCTCTGGGTGCTAAGCCCTGGGGCTGCAGGTAAGGGCCGAGGAGAGAGAGCCAGAGAGAAAAAGATGAATCAGCCCCTGTCCTCAGGGATGTCCTAATCTGCTCCAAGGTATTCTACTCACCCTGTAGAAAACAACAATTGACATACGCTTTTGCACGCTGACTTACGTACTCATTTCTTTTTTTGTGCTTGGTCTGGAGAGGCTCATCCTGATAACCTGTTTTCAGAGCAATTCAAGTGACCAGTCTTACCAGACTCCTCCCAGTGCATGCTGGAGTGGGCCAGCTTATGACCCTAGCTCTGACCACATATCGTTCACTTCCCTCCCAGGCCAGCTGAATATTATTACTAAGTGCAAATCACACAGGGAAAGAAAATATTTTCACTTTCCGAAGTCTGTGAGTATACGTCCACACTCTTTCCTGTAAGTGAACTCCAGAGCCAAATCCATATGATCCCCCCAGATCGCTGTGTTTCATGAAAGCAAGAATTTGGGAGCATCTCTGGGCCCCAACCACTGGTCGTTTAGGCAACCACAGGCCATCACTTTAGTCCACAGACTCAAATATGCTACAGTGGTTCAGGAAGGAAATGGAAGGAGACCACTGGGAATGCTAACAGGCTCTCTGACCCTCACCAGAAAGATCCCAGTGGATAGTTAATCACCTCCTTGAAGCTATTGAAGCCAAAGAGACCTGAGGGGCTACCAACTCATAACACTGGACTCCAAGAGGCCCATTGGCCCTTCCATACTGGTGGGCAGGATGGAGAAGGCGGAAGGGTGGGGAAGGCAGCGGTGTGGTGATGCTGACAGTGAGCCTGCACAGACCTCAGGAAAGTGGGGAGGCGAGACATTCAGGGACCTAACTGTAGTCAGCTTCTGCTGTGTTTGAGAGAAACATCTCTTCGGTCAACCCAGGACGGGACGAGGTGGGTACGGAGAGGTGTGAAGTGGTGCTTACGTGAGAGCAGCCCAGCCAGACTGTTTTTGAAGAAAATCCATCCCTGTTATTTTTGTTCATCTGTTCCTATTCCTAGAATATAATTCTTCTGCAGACTTTGAGTGACTGGCCTCTCTTCCATGGCCAAACCAAGTGCCTCCCAATTAAGATTAGGAGTCATCGGAAGTGCCTGCTTTACAGGTGACTTGCCAGTTTCTGTAGGGTTTGGTGTGGAAGGCACACACGTGGCTTCTAGTCCAGAGTCAGAGGTGGCTGGGCCTGTGCTGGCCAGGCCTGTGGGCCCAATGAGCTCCCTGCTGGTTCCAGCCGAAGGCAGTGAGTGTAAATGCACCCGGTCTTTGAATGCTGATATTCCTGGGCCCGTCAGGAATCTTGAAACAAGTTTAACAGATTGATTGAATATGCAGCTAAGTGTAACTCCTGGAGCCTTGCTGAAATGCTTTCCTCTCGGAGTCCAAGCCATGGGGACACATTATAAGTGAGATCATGTGTCCTAAATTTCTTTTGGTTCTTGAGAAACTAAATTATTTTGTTGGGGTGTGATTGAGCCTACCTTACCCAAGATCCCGCTTAGTTTTAAACAGCTTTCTGTCCAAAAGCCACAGGAAATTCTTTGACCTTTTCTGAATGGACAGAAAGTAACATTTGAACTTGACCCGGTACTGTCAGGAAGGGAAAGCTACATTTGCTTTCTGAATTGCCAATATGCCAGCTCTTCCCTGGAATCATAACTTTTTTACCAAGAGAAAGGGAGTCTGTGGAGATGGCTGTTACACTGTATCATGACAAGCACCAGGAAGACAGTGGTGCAACTGGGTTACTGCAGACGTGCAAACCAACTTCTTTGCAAAAGGTGGTGCTGCTGTCCAAACACAAGTGGAAGCAATTTTTATCCCACTGCCCACGTGTGGGCCATGGGCCAACCGAGGACCACGTCACCCCTCACTGGTATCCAGGCGATAAACTGAACCCTGGGTTAAACCTATTATATTAGGATTAAATTGATCCATTAATCGAAAAGTAGTCCCTGACTACTTGTTATGGGACCAGCACTGTGCTAAGTATGAGAGGACTCAGAAAGATCCCCTCTTCTCAAGACTTTAATAGCATAATTGGAAACCAGGACCCAGGAAATGGAAGAACTAAATGTCATGTTGCTTGGAGTAGATGGGAGTGAATCAGAGTTCAGAGACGGTGTGAGTTGGAGCAATCAGAGGTTTGGGCAGGAGGGGCAGAATGTGGAAAGGTGGCAAGCCAGGGTGGCAGTCCAAGCTCTCTTGGGAGGAAGGGAAAGACACATGGAGGGAGAGACTGCAGAGCACCCCCTAAAATAGTGATAAAAATGAAAACCTATTTGATGGGGTCATGCTGAGGATCAACTCAGATAATGTGTGAGGAAGTACTTAAAGTAGTGCCTGGCCCATAGAAAGTGCTTACTAGTGTAAATTACTGTTAGTAGTAATTTATCAAATGGTTACAAGTGCTATGAAAAAGATAAATTAGAGCCCTCCGATAGAAAGTGGGAGGGTAGGGGAGGGGGCTTTTGCTTTAGTTGGGAAGGTCTGAGAAGGCCTTGCTGAAGAGGTGGTATTTGCCTAGGCAGCCATCTGGAAAAAAAGCAGCAGGTGCAAAGGCCCTGAGGCAAGAATGAGACTGGCCAGTGTGGCTGGAGCCTAGAGGGTGAGGAGACAGTGGTGGGCAGTAGGACTAGAGAGGTGCCAGGGCCAGCTCTGACGGAGCCCAACAGGTCAGGATAAGGAATGTAGAGTTTCCTCCAGTAGCAATGAGAAGCTTTGGAGGGTTGAAGCAAGGAAGTGCTTTGATTCTACTTGGGGTTTTGGAAAGATCAGTCTGACACTGTAGAGAATGGCCTGCCAGGAGGAGGAGTGGAGGCAGGGATGGGACCTCCCCCCGCAGCCTACATAGACCAGGGTAATCACAGGCTGTGTGCTAACTGGGACTGACTGCTTTTCAGCCAACAGCTGCCTGGGCAGCAGGAGCACAGAGAGCACAGAAGCATTCGTTTGCTACTCTTCACCATTTTTTGAGAACTTTCTTGGTGCAGTGCCCTCAGCTGGGCACCAGGAAGACTATAAAAACAGTTTCTGCCCCCAAGGAGAGCAATGAGTAAGATGCACCCAGATACCTGCCCCATGAAATGGCACGTGATGAAGATGCTGGAGCACAAGGGCTGTGGGGTCTCCCGCACCCTTCCTTGTGCTCCCCCTGGGAGGAGGCTCAGTTCCTGGCTTGGGCTCTGGGGCTCTTGGGCTTCTGTGGTTGTCTGGCTCTCCCAAGGCTTCCTTGGCCTGGGCTGGCTCCAGGGTTGCTTTGGGTGTGTTCCATTCCTCTGATACTTCCCCTCTGAGTCTCATTTTCCACAACAGGCTGCATTATATGGAGGTGTCGCTTTTGTTGTCCGATCCATAGGAAGGAGAAGGGCAAGTGGCTGCTGCCCACACCCCCTCCCAAACCCGACTGGACCGTCAAGGACACCGTCAGCTGACCCCTGAGCTCCTGTTCTTTAGGCCCACCTGTGTGCCCCTCACATCAGGAAGGGATCTGCCCGTGTTGAGACAGGTCTCCAGACACACCAGGCAGGGACAGAGACTCGCTGTCACAGGGAAGCAAGCCACCTTGTCACAGACTACCAGGGTGGTCTCCCTGTGCAAAAGTCACCCGGGAGTGGCACGGAGGGAATAGAAGGCACGGCCCCCATCCTAATATTGCTGCTGGCTCATCTGGGGGTACCAAAACCAGATTGTCTTTGCTGTCGGGAGCACACAATCCATCTGGGAAGACATGAAGAGGCACGGGGCCTCCTGGACCTCCCCCGGCCCAGGACCCACTGCCAGGGCTGGCTTCGGGGCCACTCTAGTGGGCCAGGATGCACCCTGCACCTGTGTAGGCCTGTGAGGGTGTTCCATCCACCCCCTGATGGGTGGCATGCACAGTCCTCTTTCTTTGCCCTGGGCCCATTCATGGGAATCATACTTCCATGGCCAATCCCTGGCCATCCTCTAGGCTGTGGCCAGCTCTCTGGTGTACGAGAATGTCACGCCTCATCCTTAGGAAACTTTCTCCTTCCTAAAGGACCTGTTCAGCCATCTGCTTCTTATCTGCTTCCTGTACCATTTCCTTTGCCTCTTTTCTTTTGGCCTTGGCTCTTTAATTACATTCTTTTCGTCCCTTCTGCGGGATAGTTTGGGCCAGAGAGTAGCTAGGTGTTAGCGCTAGGTATCAGGAGAAACATCCAGGTGATGTAGGTCAAGCCCTCCCCTCCCATCTCCCTCCTTACCCCTCCCCATGAAATCATTCACGGGTTTGCTTCCGACCCTCTCTGCCAGCTTACACCAACAACCAAGCGGACATCGCCACCCAGGGCTGGTTTATCGGGCTCATGTGCGCCATCGCCCTCCTGGTGCTGATCCTGCTCATTGTCTGTTTCATCAAGAGGAGTCGTGGTGGCAAGTACCCAGGTGAGCAGTGACAGAGGGGTGGGCTTGGCGGCAGGGCAGGCGAGTTTCCCATGAGGTTTGGGAGCTCTGTCCTCTCCGTGCACCCAGGCCCGGCCAAGCTTGGAAACGCAGGCCTCTTGCCTGTTCTGTGTATCCGGGAGCTGCCAGCACACACTCAAGTTAATTAAGTTCGCCAGAGGTGGGCGGATGGCAGGGTCCAGGCAGCTCCAGAGAGGGCTGGAAGGAACCCCGGCTCCTATTAAGAATGGCCTTCCCTCCCTTTGACTCACCATCCATCTGCTCAGTAAATTGGTTTTTTTCAGCCTGAATCTCATTAGGTTCCTGTGTCCCAGGAAAGGAGGCAGGAAGAGAAGCATTTTCTCTAACCATGGGGAGGGGAGGAGTCTGGTCAGAGGCACACACCCTGGAGAGGCTACCGGGACCAGCACTCAGCCGGACGAGGGTGCAATCACAGATGCCTCTATCAGAGGGTCAGCCCCTATGTGAGGGGGTGGGGCGGGGAGGCCGAGGGATGGGTTGCACTGATAGGGACCCCCACAGATTCCCCGGAGTCCCAAAGGGGCATTTTTTTCTGGAGGCCTCAAGCTCCTCCAGCCCAGACAGACCAAGGTCAAGGACAGGGACCTCTGACGTTCTTGCTTCTGGAAATATTGATTGTTTTTCAAATGGCGGGGCCAAGAGAGCCATCTGTCTGTGATGGGATGGGTAGGGTAACAGGAGACAGGATAATTGATGACCCTGAGAGTGCAAATCCTGCTGGGCTGCAGAATGAAACTGCACCCTGCCCCCCAAAGCCCCATCACCAGACACACCCCTTGTTCCCCAAATGCTTCCTTCTCCCCATCTCTATGAACAGGTCCTCTCCAGGATCCCCCTAAAACTCAACACAAAGGAAATAAAAGGGGGAGGAGATCCTATTCTATTTGTTTTGTATTGTATCCTGCCTAAGTACCTGCAGACCCTAGGATTCTGAAGAGTCATGCCCCTACTTAAGTGAGGGCGGCAATTATAATTTTTTACTTTTGCACTTTGTTTTGCTGTGTGAGGTTGGTTTTCCTTCTGTAAGAGAGAAAGAGTTAGGGAGAAGGCTGGCGTTCTGTGTTACATCATGTCTTGGGTGGCCTCACCAAGTCATCCCCCATCCCAGGTGGAACTGGAATACCTGAGGAACTCATCAGATAAACTCTGAGCCTTCCTTTGCCCATGCAGAAAGCGTCCCATTCCAGAAAGTTCTTCAAAGCTAAATTCTTTCCCCGCAGCTACACAGTAAGCCCCTGGTACATCAAAAAGATGAGTGAACCAGGAGCCATGAGGCCTGGCTCTAGGCTTTATTCAGTTACTAACTAGTTGTGTGACACATTCTCCACCTCTCAAGGCCTCAGTTTCCCTCACCTAAAGAGGCAGTGATTATCCTGCCTTGTATCACAAAAAGGATACATAGAGTCCTTCGTGGAAGTACCTGCTGTATGCCAGCCTCTGTGCTGGCTGCTAGGGATACCAGAGGAAAAGATAACCTCTCCTGAAGGACACCAGCTGAACAGAAGACACAACCACTGCACAACAAGACAGGGCCTTGGCTGGATGTTCACACATCACAGAGGAGGCGTGGGAGAAGAGGGGCACACTAAGAAGGGAGGTCGCAGATGTGAGCACACTTTCCATCCCATAGTTGTTTGTGTGGAGTGTCCCCTCTGCCCTGGGCACTCTGCTGGGAGCTTTGAAGAAACACCAGCCCCCCACCCGGGAGGAAACAACCAGCATTCTGTTACGGGCATAAGACACTGGCACAAGTAATTACAATACAGAGCAGAATAAGAAAGGGACAAACGATGGGGGATTGGCTTTGGCAAAGGAAAGGAGCACATCTGTTCGGGGAAGACTTCATGCAGAGATCGGGGGGCTGGGTGGGAGAAGATTTCAGTTGTCAGAGGAGATGTAAAAAGACTCCTGAGGGGAGGAGGCGGCAGAATCACATGGTACATGATTGAGCGCAGGCGGCAAGAACAAGGGAGGCAGCGAAGGCACCTTATTAAGAGGGAGAGCGTCTTCAAGCCCCGGGCGCTGTCCTCTGGCTCTGCACTCAGGAGAGCGGGGCAGTGGGGGCATACTTCTTAACCTCGTGTCTGTGTCTTTGCTTCTCTTACTGACCAAGTACGAGAAAAGAAGGATGTTCCCCTTGGCCCCGAAGACCCCAAAGAAGAGGATGGCTCATTTGACTATAGGTGCGTGATCTCCTTTTCCCCTGTCGGGTACCCCAGGGAGGCAGCCCCCTCGCCTCGGAGCAGCTCAGCATGACTGTAAGGCCACTGCCTGGATGTCCTTGCTACCAGGTTTGCTCGGAGAGGCTGCTTGTTCTGACAGTGCCAGATGAGGCTGCACCCCTGAGAGGCGCTGCCCAACCCTCACGTTCATCCCACGAGTAGCATTTCATTCATTCAGCTGCACATCTCAAGTGTATTGAATTCCTTGTTTGTATCTTTCCACCTTTTACTCTGAAAATGAGCCCTGGGCCCCTCTGGCTGTGAAATGAGGTGGGCACTCAGGATTCCTCTCTGCCTGCACCCCACCCCTAACCCTGAAGATAATGACCCAGGGCGGGGGAGGATTGATTCTAGGCCTTTTCCCCATGAACCTGGCAATATCTCTGGGCTCTAGACTGGAATAGGACTTGGAGAGGTGTCTGGTCCAGCACTCTGTGTCCCAGATGGGAGAACTAAGGTCCAGACTGGGAATTGGCTTGCCCAAGACTCTGCACTCTCCACCCAGTGAGCTAGTGGCAGAGCAGGAAGGACCAGGGGCCGGACTTCCAGCTAGTGCTGCTGTTTTACACCCATGCTCCCTCTCACGTCTGCATGGGGCTTTGTCTCTGGGCTTTGCAAAGCTGTTACCTGTCCATTTTGATGTCAAGTATATCTTGAGCTCAGGAGTCATGCAGGGTGGATCGTGGAGTCTCACTCCCAAATCCAATGGGGTGGGAGGAAATGTCTGATCAGAGCCTTCCTTTCCTACCCCCACCCAGTTACTGTCTGAACCCAGGTCACCCCTGTCCTCCTGCAACCTCTCATTATCCTGTTTGGGCCTCTGCCACTCTGCCCATCAGCAGCCTCGTAAGCAGGATCAGATCAATGGATGGTGGAGCCACTACCCACACAGGAGCCTGTCTGGCAGCTTAGGGACCATAACTGTCCATCCAGTCCCAGCATCCCCATGAGTCTCCCAGAAGGGCGAGCACAAGTGGGCCCTCCCCTTCTTCCCTCCCTGTCCTCAGCTCCCCTGGCAGGGCCCAGCTTCCCCATGGGCTGAGAGCCATTTCCTGGCTTTTAGTTCCAAAGGCCGTGGGGCTTTCTCTCCCTGAGACCCTCAGTGCAGCCAGAGAAGAGAGGTGAGGCCCTGCTCCAACACAGGGCCAGGCAGCCTGCACTGGGAGAAGCTGCTGTTTTGTGCACCTGTCCTGCCCATACACCAAAGCTGTTGGCCAAAAATACTTGCCTCCCCCCACCCTCCAGACACTGAGGCTGGGTATATATATATAACGGGAACATGCCCCGACACACAGGGGGACACACACTCACACACCCTCACACCCCCACACACACATCACTGCAGCATTCATTCTAGAGCCCCCACTGGGATGAGCCCAAGAGCCCTAAACTGGGAAAAGGCTGAAATTAATGCTAAGTTTCTGCGGCCTGGGGGCAAGGAGGAGTTCTGTTAACCTTACTCCATTCTGGGGCTGAGTTGCTGGGCCTCTTTTCCGATGGGGGCTCTCTCTGCTTTTCTGTCCTATGTCTGTCCACCTGGACCTTGAAGTTTTCTTGGAACTAGGCGAACAAGTAGCTAGACCAGGGCTATCCCCATTCATACTGCTTTCTTTCAAGCAGCACTTAGAAGAGGTCTGTTCTTTCCAGACCTAGATCCATTTCCCTTCAAGACCCTGACACCCTAAAGACCCATCCCCTGCCTCTCACCCTGGCTGGACTGCCTCTGTCCAGTGGTTGCATTCAGCTTACCTGCCTGGAACCAGGGCAGGAATTCTCACAAATCACAGAGCACAATCCTCATGCTCCTGCGGGTGGAGTAGAGGGCCCTGGGGAAGGGGTGCACGTGAAAAAGACTGTCGAGTGGGGTGAGGAACCTGACGGTTAGAATCTGCCAATTCATAAAGAGCGAGTTCCACTTCCTGCACAAACTCAACGCAGCCCTGGAGGCCTACTTCCTCGCTCCAGCCTGTCTCCCACAGCACTGCCGTCAGCAAACACACTTAGGCGGCGTTAATGGGGCTGCATTCACTCAGCGCATGGCGGGGAGTGGGCTAATAGCTTTCCATCTCGTATCGCTTAGCTCTGGCTCTGGCCCACCACCTTCCCCTGATGGCTGTCTTTGCCCGACGCTGCTATTAGAAACAAGAATGCTGCCTGCTGTAATGACCGCGCAGCCGGCTGTTTTCCCCACGCCCAGAAAGGACTGAGTGTGGGCTGGGAGCAGGGGAGGTGCGGTGTGTGTGTGCTCAGACCACCTGGCACTGCTGTGGCCTCACCTGCTAGGACCCAGGCTCCCACTGCTGGTCCCCGGCTATTTCCTGCCTGGGGGCTCGTCTCACCTCAGAAGTGCAGCCAGCAGCACCTGGTCCCCCCTCTGAGTCTAAAGGGCAGAGAGAGTTTTGCAGCTGGGGAAGGACGCAGTGTCTGAGCAGACGCCGGCTCAGGCAGCTGTCCCTCGTTCCTCAGGAGCACAGCAGACATCCTGACTGGACGTCTGTTCCCAGTGGGCAGAGTCCACTTTACCCACCTGCCTCTTGCTGTCCCTGCACAGGAGGGGCTTAAGACCAAGGCCTGAGGGACTCTGAAGAGCTGGGAAGGTCCCTCTGAGCCTTGCTGGCCTCACGCACTTATCAACATGCCCCTCCCTCCTGCTGCCCGCAGCACTCTCTTACTGTCTCTTACTGCTGGGCCCAACATGATAGTATCTGCAGATAAACCAGATAGCTAAGAGAAACAACACTAAGGCAGGGAAGAGGTTTGTTCCTTTGCTTTGTGTAAAGGGTGGGGCCTTTTCCTGCAGATTCACAGATCACAGAAGGTCAAAGCTGATCCAACCCCTCTTGATAGACAGACTAAGACCTGCATCACAAAATCACACAGTGACACACTCAGGACAAGAACTCCCCACCCTGCATGGTCTCACAAGCATTGCTCCACCTCTCTGTGGGGTGGCCATCCTCCGTCTGCTCCCACCACAGACAGTGGCCTGCTCTCACGGGAAGGACCCTGCACCAGGACTTCAGAAGTGTGGGCTCCAGTCCCTGCTCTGCACTGAGTTGCCACCTCATCTTGGAGAAGACGCTTGTCCTCTCTAGGCGTCAGTTTCCCTTCTGCAGAACTGGGTGGGGGCTGGCCTGGGGGATCTCTGACCTCTCTGAGAGGTGCAGGCATGTGCTTGGCAAGGGGCTGGCTGCCCCATCTGCCCCGCCTGGGTTTGTTTGGGCTGCACTGGGCCATGCCAGGCCCTGATTCTGTTTCTCTCTCTGGCCAGTGATGAGGACAACAAGCCCCTGCAGGGCAGCCAGACATCTCTGGACGGCACCATCAAGCAGCAGGAAAGCGACGACAGCCTGGTGGACTATGGCGAGGGGGGCGAGGGGCAGTTCAATGAAGACGGCTCCTTCATCGGCCAGTACACAGTCAAAAAGGACAAGGAGGAAACAGAGGGCAACGAAAGCTCGGAGGCCACGTCACCCGTCAATGCCATCTATTCTCTGGCCTAACGGAGCCCACCCGGGCACAGCCACTACTTTGCAAGTGGGAGGAGGGGAAAGGGGGAGACAAAGCCACTGCAGACCTACCGCAAAGCCACCGCCACCTTCAGGGACAAGGGTACAATATGGGGGTCTGCCAGGCTGTGAGGACCAGTGACCACCCAGCCACCCACAAGCCCCCTCCCAATGACCCCCTACCCCTCTGGGCACCACCAGTGTGAGACAGCTGGAGCCACAGCTAAGCTCACTGGATGGGACCCAGTGACTTGCCCCGACTCCCGGCCACCCTGAGCTTTCCGCCACGCCACACCCTTGACCTTGGCACACATGCTCCCCCATTTCTGTTGGTTATGGTACGTTTTATTGTCTTAATTTTTATTTTGTACATCTCCCCCTCCAGACCCAATGTCTCCATTTTCTTTTCCTTTTGAAGAAATGTCCCTGGAAAAGAAAGAATAGGTGGATTCTCCCCCAGGAAATGCAAACATAGGCAAAAAGGATTGCCCTGTAACAGAACATGTAGGAAAGCTGCAGGATTCGAGCCGCCGCTGGGCCAGTATTTCTGAAGGATGCCTTTCTCGCCATATGTCTCCCCTTGCTCCCGACCCGTCCGCCTGGGCCTTGTCAGTTGCTGAACTGGACTTGGCTTTCTGGAAAATGACAGTATTTTTGGCAGGAAGAGGGTGGGAAGACCTCCTTGCCTCTCTCTGCTTTAGTTGGGAGGCGAGTTTACCTCTGCTCCTCGTTCTTACCCAGCCCCTTCCTCCAGAGTCTCCAAGACATGAGGTGCACTGACTCAGAAGTCTGAGGAACAGGAGTGGGCACTGGTGGAAAGGACTTCGACTCCAGTGACCGTGTACCTCAAGCAGAAGAAAATCAAGTGTCTGCTCCCTGGGGAACTGTGCTCACCTCTAGAGAGAAGAAAAAGGCTGGCTTTGGACTTCTTCCCATCAGCGAAACCCAGGATGTAGGAGAGAGGACCATACCCACTATGTCCAGGCTAGAGGGCACCTGCCCACCTGGTTGGAGTCTATGCTGCTACCCCCGAGGAGAAGGAGCCCTGTGCTGCAGAAGGTTTGCTGGTGTGTTTGGGGGTGTAAAGCACTGCTCCCCTTTTATCTCTAGCAGATACCATCTCCTCAGTCATTTCTGTATGACGTTGAGACTCGTGTTTGACGTGGTGTGTGGATGGGGACCTTCTGCCCCAAGACTGAGCTGGTCTGTCCTTTCATTAGGATATATACATATCAGGGGACCCTGAGGTGGTATCGTACTGACAGTGCTGTGATGCCCCTGCTTGGTGGTTGGAGGGACTCAATGCTCTTCATATGCCTTATGCAGCTCTGATCTGTCCCTGAAGTTCCCCACCCCCCACCCCCACCCTGCAAGCCGTGAAGCCTCCAGCGACATCTGTCTCGAGAAGAACAGAGTGGCCTATGCAAGTGTCCTGGCAGGACCAGAAGCAGCCACTCAACATGTGCCCTCACCCTGTTGCCCCAAATGGAGACACTCACAGACATGCAGTTCTCAGGCCGAAGGTGCTGCCTTCACCCTCCCCACCTAATCCATTTTTGAAACCAAAGGTACCTAGCCTCAGAGACAGAGAGAGAGTGAAATCTTGAGCCTGGGAGTAACCCCTTAGCTGTTTCTGCAGCATGAGTCAGTGTGAGGAGGGTGAGGCCGGCTGTCAGGAATGGATCACCTGCCCCAGGAACTCCCTCTGATCTGAGCCTCCAGCTGCTGGTCGGGGAGCCTGGGCAGGACCAGTGTCCTTCAGAGACTTTATTAAAGCATCATTTGCCACATGTTTAAGCCACACAGGTATTAGCAATGCTTGCATCACTTAATAATCATTCAGCTGAAGGTCAAATCCGTAGATATACACACATTGTCTACAGGTAAGAAATCGTGGCCCAGAGCTGAGCCAGTAATGTTGTTTGAACCTGATAGTGTGTAATGGTCCTTTGGCTCAAGCTGCTGCCAGGTGTGCTGCCTAGAAGCCTGGGGGGCAGTTCTCTCATGATGAAAGGGAACAGGGTAAATAGAAGGCTGGGCAGTGAGCTCAGGGGGTCTCCTCCCCTGGCTTTCCTCCAACATCTGCTTGGAGACAGCTGGGCATTCCTGCAGCCTAGACCCACTGCCCCTGAAGGGAGTGTCAGGGAGCGTGCCTCTGAGCTGAAGTGAAGGACCAGCCTTTCCGAAAAACACTTTGGATCTGAGCAGAGTTGTCAGTTCTCAGGCACTGTCTATGTTAGCAAACCCAATGCACCGAAGAGAGGCTCTTAGGGCAGGAGGGGACTGTTAGAGGTACCGTGGCCATCTCCCTGCCTCTGGAAAGTCTGCCACACAAACTGAGAAGGGCTTCTTCTGCCTTAAGGGTCTTGGGAAGAGGTGAGTCCTCAGCCTGTCTTTGCACCGTATTGCAGTGTCCTGCCAGGTTCTGTACCATCCTTCCTTGTATGTGAAGTGAACGCAGTTAGCCCCCTCTCTCGGACTGTCATTCTGTGGGTGCTGAGGGCCGTCTGCCACCACCACGTGATCACAGCCCTCCAGGCAGGAGCAAATCTAGGGCTGAAGAACCAAATTTCCCCCAGGCAAAGACAGCAGGTGCTCAGAGAGATCAAACTCTGATGTGTGCGGATTGCAGGGTGAAGGAGGCAGTCCTTTCCAGGAAGAGGAGAGCCCGTTTTCTGTGGACTCCATGCCAGAGTCCACCCCAGCTCAGCAGGAAAGCATACTGCCCAGCACTCCCTGCAGCTGGGTCTCTCAAGCAGCCACCCCAGCACATACCAACAATGATGCCAGGAGTGGGGGACTACCTTGGTGCTTCAGCCTGTCCGGCTGGGAGAGAAGAGGTGCAGGTCATCTAGCAGTGACTCTCTGGAAGTTTCATTCACTGGGCTGCATTCCCACCTGCGTGCTCAGCCGCGACAGCTGTGGCTTCCCATGTTCTTATTGGTCCATGCATTCGTTCATTCCACAAATACTTTTTGAACATGTAGTCTGAGTTCAGGCCTGAGCCCTGGATACTGTGGTGAGTCAGATGTGGTCCCTTCCCCTCCTGGGGCCTACAGTTCTGGAACCGAGTCTCGGGACACAATGGCTATTGAGTTGGGAGCATTCTGCCCTCCATTGCTTAAGCCGCTGGTGGCTCCAAGCTTGAAGGGAGAGGATTCCAAGGGAGAACTTGGTCCATCTGGTCAGTAAGGCGGGGCAAGACGGGGCATTCAAGACCTGCAGCGTGGAGTTGAGGGACCGTCCTGCTTCCTGAGCCTTGTTGCTCTGCCGCTTGGGACAAGCTGCTTAACCTGTCTCTGTTCTGGTGCCTCTGTCTCCCCTGTTCAGTCCCTCTTTTGAATCCCTCTCTCCACAGAAGGGCATGGGTCCACTTGAAGGAGCAGGGAGGCCAGGGTTTGGGAAGCTGCAGCGTCAGGGACAGCTGCCTGCCACCTTGCCTGGGTTATGGTGAATGGGACCCGTCTTTCTCTACCTTGCTTTTTAGGAGATGGTTGAGTTTTAGCTAAAGGGGAAGCCAGACTAGCTCCCTCCCTTGCCCAGATCCTTTGCCCTGCAAGGTTGGAGACACCTGGCCCTCCTCATTCCTGGCAAGTCCCAAGGTCTGCAGAAGTGACTGCTTGTCCCAGAGTCAGCCAGTGCCAACGTTTGCTAACCCTGCGAGGTACATCTGCAACCTGGGCCCAGATAGTGTGTTCATAGTTTCCCTGACCACGGTTAGCCTTGGGAGGGGGTGGAAACAGATCTGAGGATGTTTGTGGGTTTTCCAGCTAAGGGACACACTCCCCTGCCACTGCCAGCACCACAGCATGCACCCATACATAAAGCAGGCCACAGCCCAATTGCAGGGCAGTCCTTCTGGGAGGTAGTAATCCAGATTATGACGTTGTCTCAGAGAGGGGTTGTCCACACCCAGTCCCACATGAAATGACACACAGAGGGCTCAGTGTGGGTGCCATGGGCAACTTGGGGGATGGGCAGAGGCCACCCGGTTTGGGCCCTATTTGGGTGATACCTGTAGGCAGAACCCAGAGAGAGAGAGTCTGATCCAAAGAAGAGGGAAGCTTTCCCAAGAACAGCACAGACGTCGGCTCTTTATGTCCCCTCCTGGAGGGCAGGGCCATGTCAGAGCATCACAAACAGCCCACTTGATGGAAGGAGCAGGGATGTAACACATTCTTATCTCAGTCTTTGTGAGGCTGCTTTGCTAATACTGTGCAGAGGAGAAATTTCTCAGGCTTTCCATCAGCTGGGGCTGGTGCTAGGGAATCACTGCCCTGGGAGGGAGTAGGTTCCTCGGGTGCTGGCACAGAGTATTGCACCCCACTCGTGATGCCTTGGTGTAGAGTGGCCCTCTTGCCCAGTCACCACTCTGCCCACCCCCTGCCACACCCATACCAGCCCACGGCTGTGGTTAGGTCCACCAGAAATTGCCTTGTGAAGCAAAGGAACCTGCTTGGAGCTCTGCATGGTGGCTCAGGAGTAGCGTGTAGGAGGGCCTTGATTTAAAAAAAGAAAAATAGAGAGGACTCAAACCAATGAAGCAAAGAACTTGAAATGTCAGGAGGAGACTCTGTGCCCTGGGAGACACAGGCAAGTTGAGCAGAGCCCAACTCCTGGGCAGCCCCTCCCTTAAACTAGACAGGGGCCACCCGTGTGAGTTCACCCCAGACCTTGTGGCTGTCCCCATCCCACACAAGCCAAACCCAGAGAAGCACCCTGTCTTTTCCTCCCCTCCTGAGAACAGGCTTTCCTGAGACACATGCAGAGAAGGGTCAGAGGGAGAGGACAGCCAGCCAGGAAAGCCACGAGACCCACCAAATAGTGTCTCAAGCCACACTCGAACCCTGTACTTCTCTTACCAGTGTATTAGTATTAAATGGATGTTTCTTAATGATGAGGATGGAAATGAAACAGGTACAAAGGTGCATAGCTCAGGCCAGAATCAGATTTCAGCGTGCAAAGGAATCACAGAGCTGATCTAATGGAAAAGATTCATTGTACAGAAAGAAATGGAAGTCCAGGCAAGTGAAGGGACTTGCTCAAGATCACACAGCTGGTAAAGTAAGGCAAGGTTAGGGCTGGAACTTGGGCCTTCTGACTCCTTGTCCAGTATTCTTTCACCTCACCACAGCTGCCTCCCCAAGCAGAGGTATTACGTAAGATCTGTCCTGCTGGTCCAGCCTCTTGTACCTCTTTGCTGCTTCTCCCACATCCCCCATACGCCTCCCGAAATGAAAGACAAAAGAAGGATCTTCCTGAGTCCAAGGTCAGTCCGTCTCCGACAGCCTGTTGTTAACCCAGCCGTGCAGTTAAGGGCAGACCCAGGCCAGTAGAACAGAACGACAAGGTGATTGGTATTTGTTAACTGTGAAACCTAGATTGTACCCCTTAGCTTGGTGTCTTGACTTGCAGCACAGCGGGCCCTCGGCACACTGTATTCCTCGGGAGTGAGGCGTGGAGGGGTCTCAGTCCGTTCTGTCCTTGGCGGCGTGCTGAGAGGCGGCAAAGCCCATGCAAGCCTGCCTCCCGGGGATCTGCTGGGCTGGGGTTCAGCAGATGTGAAGACTTCAGTGAAGCAATAAACACAAAAGTCTGGGAGACGATATCCAGAATTTTGTGTACTACTCTGTTTCTTTTTCAAAGATGATATAGATCCGATGACCC